AAGTTTGGGAGAATTCACTGATAAAAGCTAGCTGAGCTAGAATTCCTTTGTGATGGGGATATTATTAATATTAATTAAAGCTTGACATGACATGACTATGGTAAAGTGTACAGATTATAAGTCTCTGGTTTATAAACATAGATGAGAATATGATTTTGAATAAATTGGAGTATATGCTCTAATTTCTGGACCTTACAGAAAATTCAAGTAGCAGTGCAGCTTATAATCAGTGAATGGAAAGTATTAAGTTACTATATAGCTCTGGAAAATAGGCTAAATGAAAGAAAGGTGAGTGTTAGGATTCAAGTTGTACCCTCAAAAAGATTGTTGAAGTCCTAAGCCCTAGAACCTTAGAATGTAACTTCAGAAACAAGAGTTGATATAGGGCTGGGGATGTGGCTCAAGCGGTAATGCACTTGTCTGGCATGCGTTTGGCCCGGGTTTGGTCCTCAGCACCACCACATACAAACAAAGATGTTGTGTCTGCCGAAAACTAAACAATAAATTTTTTTTAAAAAAAATTCTCTCTCTCTCTCTTTCTCTCTCTCTCTCTCTCTTTAAAAAAAAAAAACGAGAGACAGAGAGTTGATATAGAGTTAATACATTAAGATAAAGTCAAACTGGAATAGGGTGGATGCTTAACCCATAAGACTGGTGATATAAGATGGCCATGTGAAGACAAGGAGACACAAGGGGAACCCCATATGAAGATGAAGACAGGTTGAGGTGCTGCATCTGAACCAAGGAACACCAAGGATTGACACCAGAAGATAGTAGAGAAGTTGGAATGATTTTTTCCCACCCAGTCTTAGATGGAACCAGCCCTTATACTTTGATTTTGGAATTACAGTCTCCAGAACTGTGAGAGACTAAATTTTTGTTTTGAGCTCTAGTTTATGATACTTTTTTAAAGCAACCCTGGAAAACTAATAAAGGAAATAAAGTGCATTCCTTATTATACAAACAAGCATTATTACAGTGAAATCCTTTTGAAACATTTTCTAGTTCATCATCTCAGCTGCCATAATATTTTTTATGATTAAAAATCTGTTTTCATTGTCTTAAGTGAGACCTGCAGTCAAAGCTGAAGGACACTTATGCATACAAGGGTTTGGTGCAACCTGCTTTCATTCTTGGGTTTTTGGGGGAATACCTTGTCCCCTCATTTCATTAAAGATATTGTCCATGGTCTTTTTCTTTTGTTATTATAGTCACTCTCTTTATTCATAAGGAAACGGGAAGGTGTTCAAAACCTACTCAGCCCACTTGTGCCATGTTGCTTCTCTTTCCTTCTTTCTTTTTTTTTTTTCTCTGTACTTCAGTGTGGCTGAACTATATTTTTAATGTGTGTTTTTTCCTTTAAGTTACAAAGCAGTCCAAAAATAATACCAGAGTTGAAAATAAATAGAAAAATTTTTCTGAATCTTCGGAGTTGCTGGATTGAGAATAAGATGTCCTGTTATTCCAAACACTTTAGTACAGGGATTAACTGGATATAAAGAGCTAGAGATATAACTCAGTGAAGTTCTGAATTCAATCTCCAGTACCATCCAAAACCAAATAAATAAAAGGAGGATAAAGATTCATTAAGCAAAAGTAAGTAAGACCAAAACAGTAGCTTTGAAGTATTCAGACAGTGAATAATTCAGGACAAAAAATGTTAAAAGAATCAAAAGCATCACTTTTTAATGACTATTAGATGGTAATAGTTAAGATTTATGTAAAACAAGTTGCATAAAGCAGAAACTACTAGAGAGGTAAGGCAAAATGTTGGAACATACTAAGAAATTTTTATATTCCCCTTTCAGTAGCATCAACTAAAAGCAAAAGAAGGTGGGTGTGGTGTTGCATACCTGTAACCCAGTGACTCAGGAAGCTGAGGCAGGAGGATATCAGGTTTAAGGCCATTCTCAACAACTTAGTGAGACCCTGTCCCAAAAAGGAGAAAGGCTAGGAGTGTAACTCAGTGGTAAAATGCCTCCATTTCCATCCCTGGTACAAAAAAAAAAAACAAAAAAAACCTAGCATCTTAATTGGGAAATACCATTGGTTTACTCTTTAACCAGAACAAGTTCAGAACCAGAAAACAAGATAGTATCCACCATTTCCATTTATATTTAACATTGTTAGAAGTATTCATTTCTATATAAAGCAAGAGAAAGCAATTGAAATAATATGCAACAAGACTCAGAAAACTATATTTTTATATGATTTTTGTATCTGAGAAACACAAAAGAATCATTTGAGACTGATAAAGCAGAATATAATAAAGTTGCAGGATGTAAATAAAATTAATATATAGCAATCAGCCACCATATATATATATATATATATATATGGTATATAATTTTTATATATATATATATATATATATATATAAATTATAAATGATCATGGGGGAAAAGAAACATTTGCAATAACATCAACAACAGCAAGGGGAAAAAAGAATCTGAGCATTACCTTATAAGATATATACAAAGATGTTGAAATAATCAAAAAGATGTAAGTAGGTTCATTTCTCCCACAATACTATAGGATAAATTTCAAACAAATTAGATGTATAATAAATATAACCGCCTATAATCTTAGCATTCAGCAGACAAAGACAGGAGAATCACATATTTGAGGGCAGCCTGGGTGATTAAGTGTGAGCTATCTCAAAAGAAAAAGGGTTGGGAATGTAGCTCAATAAGAGAATGCCTCTGGGTTCAGTCCCCCATACTGAGGATGGAAAATAAAACATGAAATCAAACACTAAAAGAAAACATGGGCGAATTTCTTTTAAAACCTGAAAGTAGTGAAACTTTTTTCAATATTACTTTTGGATACCTATGTGTTTATCTTTTGGCTTAACCCCCAATTCTAAGAATAAATCTCAAAAGTAGAAGTACCAAGATTAAGACCATTGTTTCTCAGACTGGAGTGTACATCAGAATCACATGAACTATTATGTAGATTTCTAGGACCCTCCTTTGGAGTTACTGGTTCAATAGATCCAAACTTGGACCCAATAACTTTCATTTCTAATGGATTTTTAGTGAGTGATGGTGTTCCAGGCTATCTCCAGGACAGAATAAATGAAAAAGTGCTGAGAAGTTAATATTTGATCTCTCTCTCTCTCTCTTTTTTTTTTTTTGGTAGGGGGTGGGTACTGGGGATTGAACTCAGGGGCATTCATTCAACCACTGAACCACATCCCCATCCCTTTTTTGTATTTTATTAGAGACAGGGTCTCACTGCTTACTGCCTCCCCATTGCTGAGGCTGGCTTTGAACTTGCATTCCTCCTGCCTCAGCCTCCTGAGCCACTAGGGTTGTAGGCATGCACCACCATGCCCAGCTTAATCTCTTTTTCAAAAGAAATAAATAAAAATATTAGTGTAACCAGGGAATTCTATTTTTATGTATATATACAAAGCACCAATCAAAAATAAATAAATGACCAAAAGGAAGATCAGTGGTATAGAGGAAGGAGAATTGGGGAGGAAGGAGGCGGGAGGGAACAGGGACTGAAATGGAATAAATCAAAGTCCATGTATTGTGATTTTTGTCAAAATGAACTGACCTACTATGTATAACTCTAATACTCTAATTTTAAAAAATTAGTGTTATCTGTACATATTTCCACCCAAGAAAAGCAAAAATGGAAATAAACAATGGAAAAATAAAACTAATAAAAGTGATTTTTCTATAGGGAAAGAGAAGCGTAATCAGGGAAGGGGATCTAGACTTAATAAGACAGGCAATTGTTTTATAGCTTTACATAATTAACATTTTAAATGTACTTTCTAGAAATAGGAAATTGAAATATGTCATTTGTTATATAATGACATACATAGATGACTATGGATATATTTTAGGTGTAGGATTTCAGACACAAACCTTAAACTGCATTCATTAGTCTTTATTTTTGGAAATTGTATTGGTGTGCTTCCTTTGAAACCACATCTGTAGTAGAAACAATATAATTATATTACCAAGAACCAGAATTATCAGGAGGGATAGAAATATAAAATAAAAAAATGACAACCCTGTATTCTTATGTTAAAATTTAGTATCTAAGCTTGAGTTTACTTTTCTCTTTCTAAAACAAGACTTGTTTTTCTGTTCCAACCATTGATAAGTCCTAGAACCACTGGTAACCCAGTAACAGTGAACACATCTAACATGCAGAGTGTGGTTTTTGAATGCTATTTCTTTTATTTTCTTCCCTCCATCCCCTGCTTTTTGTTTTTGTTTTCTGGACTAGGGGGTCTATCATGGAGCTACATTCCCAACCCTTTTAATTTTTTTATTTTTATTTTGAGATGAGTCTTAAGTTGCCCTTGCTGACCTCAAACTTGGAATCCTCCTGCCTCAGCCTCCTGGGTCACTGGGATTACAGGCATGGACCACTAAACCTAGCTTTCAATACTGTTTCTAATTAAATAATACTAGTACTCTATGGGACAATTAGCTGATCCAGGTTTGAGGAAAAAAATGTGCAAGATTTGCTAAGGACTTTCCTTTTTTGTGCCAGAAAGCAATTAAATACTGCAGGACCAAGTCTCAAAGGTAGTTTACAACTTCATGGAGCACCCAGTAGCTCAAAATCAGATGTTTTCAGTACCAAATTTTTAATAATAGTTTTTGATTTAATTTTAAATATGTAAACATCTGAGTTAAAAATGAAATAGTTTTGAAAAATAAACTCATTAGTTGTAGGTACTTGTATTAATTTCTTAAGACTGCAAATTACCATAAACTGGGTAGCTTAAACATCAGAAATCTATTTGCTCAGGGCTGAATATCCAGTGTCTGAAAGCAAGATGTCACTGGAGCTGTTCTCCCTACAGAAGCTTTTAAGGAGAATCTGTTCTTGCTTTTTCTAGCATCTCGTGGTTGCTAACTTGCCTTGCAGCCACATTATTTCAGTCCCCGGCTCTGTCTTCACATGGCCTTCTTCTCTGTGTCTGTCTTTTCTATGTATCTCTTATAGAGACACTTTGTTGTTGGATTTAGGACCCACTTGGATAATCCAGGTTGATCTTCTCATCTCAAGATACTTAATTGCATCTGCCAAGACCCTTTCCCCAAATAAAGTAACATTCACAGGCTCTGGGAATTGGATGTGGACATATCTTTTTGGTGGCCACCATTATCAGCCCACTGCAGGTACTTATTCATTATTCTGAAATAAAATTCAGAACTTGACTCTGTATTTTTATAGAAAAACATAAGGATGATAAAAAATCAGATTATTTAGTTATTTCTGAAAGTAGAATTTGAGGGTTTGGAGTAGTAAATAGAAAAAGAACTTGTGTCTACCTTAGAGAGTAGTTATGTGAGTTCAGTGAAATCCTGTTAAAATCAACCCAGGACAGTTTTAGGTACACAGAAGTACTTGGTTACTATTCTTAATAAAATTGTATCCTCAAAGACATTTAGTTTAGCCTCTAAAAGGAATTTGGAGACACAAGGGTTTCAACATGTGCCTAAGTCCTATTTGCTGTTTGTAATTCTGAGCCTTTAATATTTAAAAAGTTAGAACAGTGTTTCATAGAAGTTGAGACCAATACTTGGCATAAAGTCAACTCTGGAAGTAGTTCTTACTGATAAGTCTCACAATTCTCATTTTTTATTTCAGTTGGCTTAGTGGTAAGCTTGTGGTTTTAATTTGTTAGAAAGTGTTTTGCCTTAAGGGGGAACATTTCAGTCAGTTTATCCTGGTAACTACAGATATCTTTATTGTTTCATTTCCAGGCTACCAAGTAGATTAATTTTACTTTCTGAAGCCATTATTTTAGTTGGTTGATTGGTTGGTTTTCTGTTTATAATGAAACAGTATTTGGGGGAGGTGAGGAATACATAAAGACAAGAACAAGTGTTGGAAAGGATGTAGAGAAAGTGAAACCTTCGTGCTTTCCCATTGGCATCATAAAATAAGAGCAGACATTTTGGAAAATAGGATTGCAGTAAGACCCAGCGGTTCTATTCCTAGAAATAAAGTGAAGGGAATTGAAAACAAGTACATATGAAAACTTACACATGTGATAGGCATGGTGGCACACCCTTATAATCTTAGCTACCCAGGAGGCTAAGGCAACAGGATTGTAAATACAATCTGAGCAGCTTAGCAAGACCCTGTCTCAAAATGAAATTAAAACAGCCTGGGAATGTAGCTCAGTGGTAGAGTGCTAGTCTAGTATACTGAAAATACTTAGTTCAATCCAACGTACCACAAGAAAAACAAATCAACCAACCTTACACATGAATATTGTTCATAACATCATTCATAATAGCCAAAAAGTAGAAACAATTCAGATGTTCATCAGCTGATTATTTTTTTAAATGCAGCTTATGCACATTGGAATATTAGTCAACAATAAAAAGGATTGAAATGTTCATGTCATAATGTAGAAGAGTAGTCAAAACATTGTGCTTTGTGTAAAATCCATCACAAGAAGCACATATTTTATGATTTCATTATATGAAACATGCAGAATGGGTGAATCCATACAGACAGAAGGTGGATAAATAATTGCCTAGGCCTGAGGGCATCAGGGGAGGGAAAGAAGAATGATAGCTAGCAGTTATGACATTTGAGAGGGTGGGTGTGGACAGTGATGAAAACTGATGGTGGTGATAACCGTACTAAAAGTCATTAAATTTTATACCTTAAAATATATAATACGTAAATTACATCTCAGTAAAGCTGCTATTTTCCAAAAATTGATCAACATCAGAGTACACTGAGGATATGATTTCTTTTTGCTGCTCAGCTATTTCCAAAGTTATCCAGTTTTATTTTATATGATATGTTGCACTGAATAATTTGGGTTTTTTAATATCAAGTTTATTGTACATCAACTCTTTCCCATATATAAGCCTTTTCATAAAAGTTGGGATACAAAACTAGCGCTAAATTTTCTTAATGTTGTTACTGTTATCTTCTATAAGTGTATCTACTGTGTATTGAGAAATCTAAGTAAATTGAAATGCTGTATTCCAAACTTGCATATTCTAATAAACTGTACTCAATTTTCTTGTTAGCTACCTGCCAATAAATATATGATATCTTAAAGCTTATGGGATTTAACATGGGATGTCATTTTGCCAACAATGCCTATCTTGAAAGGAAGAAGATGTTAGTAAACGTGACTTTTAGGAGTCATCCCTAAGAAATATGTTTATAATTTTCTCTCTCATTTTTTTCCTTCTTTTTCTTTAACAAGTCTGAATCAGCTATTTCTGTGTTCTTCCTTAACATAAACAGAACTAACATCCTGCCAAATTTTAAAGAAAATAAAGATAGATGTAAGTGCTGTTTTTTTTATAAGAAATATAGGCTCTTGAAAGCAAGTACCTTCCTTCATGTATGACTTGGGTTCGGCCAGGCTTCAACAGGCTACGTAGAACAACTAGTCTTCATTAGTTGAAAGTGGTTACATCCTGTACACATTTACATTCCTTCCATTAGAGAAGTCTTCAAATGGCATCTCATATTGATAAGCTTTAAACTACCATTGATTGAAGAAATAAAGGAGTGTAAGGTTTAAAACTGTGAAAGTTTTTCAGATGGAATGGCCTTATTGCCTTTGTCTTAAACTGTCAGTTTAAGACTTCCCCCTGTATCCTGTCGTCATAATTCATCTTCAGGCTTACTTTAGAATATAGGTACTATCCAGAGCATCCTAGGATCTTTTTTACCTTCTATCTAATTTGATGACTCGTGATTTATACTCTTACTTCCTGCTGCTTCAGTTCTATTGAAAATGTAAAGAATGAAAATTAATGCATACTAACACCCATCCTTTCCCCATCCTATCACCCTTCATTAGAGCTTTCTGAGGAAATAAATGAACAGGGAGGCTGCAGTAGAACTACAAAAAGAAGATCCTTTCCAAAAGTGTTTGGTCACAGTTCTTAACACAGGTAGCATATAATCTGGGGAAGGAATGGTGCTTGATATCAATGCTGACAACAGAATTTTTCATTGTCACTTTTTCCCTCAGTATCGTCTAGACTGTCACAGCCATCCTCCCCACATTCAGGCTGCCCATCGCCCACCATTCCAGCAGGTAAAGTCATTTCTCCATCACAGAAGCACAGCAAGAAGGCACTAAAGCAGGTAAGCATTGCTAGTCTGTGTATCAGAGGATGATCTCACACAGTAGCAGTGCATGATTCTGAAGTTATTGAAAGTTCCTTGAGAGCTTTTACATTAGACCCTTTTACTTTTTTTTAAATTTTTTTTAAATTGTTTATAGACCTTTATTTTATTTATTTATTATTTTTTTTTTTATGTGGTGCTGAGGATCGAACCCAGTGCCTCACACATGCCAGGCAAGTGCTCTACCACTGAGCCACAGCCCCAGTCCCTATTTTTTAATATTTTATTAGTTGTTGATTGACCTTTATTTATTTGTATGTGGTGCTGAGAATCAAACCTAGTGCCTCACACATGCTAGGCAAGCATTCTACCACTGAGCCATAACCCCAGCCCCACATTAGACCCTTTTATTTTTATTTATTTATTTATTTATTTAATTTAGGGAATTTTTTAATATTTATTTTTTAGTTTTCGGCGGACACAACATCTTTGTTTGTATGTGGTGCTGAGGATCAAACCCGGGCCGCACGCATGCCAGGCGAGCGCACTACCGCTTGAGCCATATCCCCAGCCCACATTAGACCCTTTTAAAGGGAAAATTTTATGAAGTATCTTAATTATGTGCTAGTAATTTTTGTACTTCTGTGTATAATAATCATTAGAGATTTTTGGTGGATAACTTTTTTTTTTTTTTTTAGAGAGAGAGAGAAATTTTAATATTTATTTTTCAGTTTTTGGCGGACACAACATCATTATTTGTATGTGGTGCTGAGGATCGAACCCGGGCCGCACGCATGCCAAGCGAGCGCGCTACCGCTTGAGCCACATCCCCAGCCCGGATAACTTTTTTATATATCTTTTTTTTAATATTTATTTTTTAGTTGTAGTTGGACATGACACCTCCATTCTGTTTGTTTATTTATTTATTTGTTTGTTTATTTATTTACTTTTATGTGGTTCTGAGGATCAAACCCAGCACCTCACGCATGCTAAGTGAGCACTCTCCCACTGAGCCACAACCCCAGCCCCCTTGGTAGATAACTCTTTTAAAATATTTTTAATTTGTCAGTGGACCTTTATTTTTTTTTATTTCTCTGGTGCTGAGAATCAAATCCAGTGCCTCACAAGTGCTAGGCAAGCACTCTACCACTGAACTACAATCCCAGCTCAATAGATAACTCTTTATCACGGTTTTGAAGTTCCTAACTTGTTCCTAGTTTGCTAATAAGTTTGAGGGTGAGGTGTGTGGTGGGGTATTAACCATGAATAAGTATTGAATTTTTCAGGTATGTTTTCTTTGAAATTTATGTAGATGATTTAAATTTGTTTAGGTAGATTTTTTTTCATTAATCTGAATTACATAGCTAGATTTTCTAATATTATGTTCTATTTAACTCTAGAATACTCTACATGGTCATTACATATTTTTTTAATGCTACCAAATTTTATTAATATTGTAGTTTAGATTGTATAGTATTCTTATACTATCCAAGAGCAGTTTTGAAATCATGATTGTTCTAGCATCATAAAATAAGTTGTGTAGCTCTTTTTTTTTTTTTTTTTTTTTTTTAGATTTTGGAACAAAGTTTTAGAAATGATCTTAGGTTTATTAAGTCATACTGAAAATCATTTTCCTAATATTACAATGTAAACTGTTATTTACAGTCTCTTGACTTTTTTTTTTTTTTTTTTTGAGCCTATTTTGGAAACTTAGAAAACAGTTCATTTCATCTAATTTTTTTTCAAATACTGGTATGAAGTTGTGCACAGTGCTCTTTTATGTCTCCATTTTGTTCTCAGTGGTGTTCATTTATACTATGTCTTCTTTTTTCCCAGTATCACTTGTCAGTGTCTTATTGAACTTTTTAAAGAACTAGCTTTTAATTTTTTTGAAATGCAAGTGATCAATAAATATAAACTCGATAGTAATTTAGGCAGACTTTAAAATGACAGGTTACTTATGTCTTCAGATTCTGGTGTAAATTGAGGAGCTTAATTATATCAAGCATGGCAAGTGTGCAGGAAAACTGATTTGCTTGTGGAATATTTTATTGTAGCCACTTTGGAAAGGAATTTTGCAACATATATTAAATTTTGAAAGCACATGCCCCATGGTTAAGCAATTTACTATTTTCAAACTTATGTTAGAAAAAATACATATACAAATATAGAAAAGTATTTGCACATATATTTATTATAGCAAACTTGGAAATAGACTTAACAAACATGTATAAAATCTAAAATTTTCTAATTTACATATATATTAGAAAATTCCTTAATAAGCAATCATATATCAATAAAGTAGACAATTATATAAAAGAGGTTTATTTTATGATGGAGTTGCACACACTTTACATAGGGAAAAATCACCACAAAATAATATTGAATCATTAAAATTAAGTTTTACTACAGTATATAGGGCATGATACCAATTATAAAAATATACACATATCCACAAAATAATGCTGTTTTTAATGGAACTATGAATGTTTATTGCACACAAATATATGTAAATATGAAAAAAAGTTCAGTAGGGAAAAACAAATCAATGACTGGTTACCTTTGAGGTTGTACACCAGGAGTGATGGTCAAAAAAAGAATTTAGCTTTGAGTTTGAATTTAATATTAAAAATGTATTTTTGTATCATGTATATAATCAAAAGTAACACAAGATTTTAAAGTATTTAAACCAAAAGTACTTTTATGAAAAGCTATCCATAAATTTGATAAAATTGATTACTGCCTGCATTAATATCCTGTAGCATATTTGTTTTTATAAATTTTTGAAAGATTTTAAGAAATTTAAGTGCTTCTTTTTTTTTTTTTACAGGGAAAAGGCAAGCATTTTTTTTCAATCCTTGTTAACTAATTAATGACGCGTATGCTACTCTGGTATACTCTTGTAATCTTAAGAATGAAATGTTGTGATTTCTTTGTAGAAATCAGTGTGCTATGTTAACTTAAGTCTTTGTCTACAGTGTACGTTTTTCATAGTAATCATAATTACTGTTATTCTTTACCACAAATGAGGAGGTTCTTGTTGTTTATGTATTTATTTGTTTTAAAATCGAATTAGGAACAGAGTTTGTAAACTACTAAGGTAGGACAAGAACTGTGTGTAATTCTTAATTAATGGGCTATAAATGATTCTGCTTCCATAATGTTTGTGAATTTACGTGATCACAGAAGAAATAGATGGGGTAAGTTTTGCATTAACCTGGAATGGACAATGGGTTGCCACTGTGCCTTGTAGCATCTTGGAAGTAACCAGTTATTTAACATTGCATGATGGTCCTGAAGGTTAAAGCTTAAAATGGGCAAGTCAGCTTTTTGTGGCTGTGACCAAAATCCTGATACGAACCACTTATAAGAGGAAGATTTATTTTAGCTCATGGTTTCAGAGGTGTCAGTCCATGGTCAACTGACTCCAAGGCAGAAATGGCATGGCAGAGGAAAACTGCCTAGCTCATGGCAGCTGGGAAGGAGAGAGAAGGAAGGCACGAGAGACAGATATGGTCTAGGGCCACACGCCCAATGACCTACTTCTTCTAGCCATGCCCCCACCTGCTTACAGTCCACTAGTCCATTCAGCTGTCAGTATATTAATGCTCCACTGATGGGTTCAGAGCCTTAATTATTGCCTAAAATTGCTACCTCTGAACCTTGCTGTGTTGGGATCATGCTTTCAAAACATGAGATTTTGGGGGGATATTCCAGATACAAACCATAACACAAAGTCATTTCCCGGAAAACCTGGAAATTGCTTTCTTATGCACATTCATAATCCCCCATCACCCTGTCTGTCTCCCTCCCTCCCCCCAACCTTAATTTAAAAAGTTGTCTCATATTTTCCTTATTAAAAATTGGAAATTTCCTGGATTTTGTTCATTCTAAATAGTATTACTTAGTCTATAAATTAATAATCTCATAGAAATGAAAATAATCTCAAGTAGCCAGAAGGAGCTATACTATTCTTTTAATTATTATTTTCTAGTTTTCCTTCCCCTCTGTTTACTGCATTATTATAAATTGCGGAAATATGGTAAATTGAAATAAGCCTCAATATTCTTTCCCAAGATAATTCAAGTAGTTATTTACCTTTTTTTCAAATGTAGTACCTCTGAAGCATATAAATAAGTTGAATATTTGCATTTCTTTATAGTGTTGGTGCAAATAGGGCTCTTCTTGGTACAGGGCTTAGAATTGTTTACAAAAAAATGGTAAAACATATACAGTTCTCTTATAAGATTCCTAAGTCCTTTATCCTTGACTTACTGGGAATTTTTAAGTTCTAAAAGATATCAACTGGCTGTTCCTCACAATTATATATAAAGGATAATACTGGCAAAAAGTAACCAAACTCTAGGGATCATTGCCGTCTTGTGTTTAATTTGTCTAATTTAGGTTTTATTTGCTCTGATAAATTTCAAAGAAATTGAATAATGAGTAGCGTTCTTCTTACAACTTAAAAAGAAGTCATTTTACTTTTTATTTTTACTAAAAGCTAATTTATGTATTATAGTCAGTTTTCTCTTTGTAGGCTTTAAAGCAACAACAGCAAAAGAAGCAGCAGCAGCAATGCAGACCAAGCATGTCCATCTCCTCCAACCAACACCTTCCTCTCAAGTCTGTCAAATCCAGTGATTCTGCTACTGCCAAACCTGGTAGGTAGTTTGGGCATTTTTTTTCAATGGAAGTTTCTTTATCCCAGTGTATTCATGTTGGTGTTATAAATTTATATTTAAAAAGTTGTCTCATATTTTCCTTATTAAAATCTGGAAATTTATTCTTAAATTGCTACATTTATTTATATGACCCTGTATTGCCAAATTATCAATATAAATTCTTTTAAAATAAAAGGAGTTTTTCTGTAAAATATCATGCAGTTATTTAAAAGTTTATAAATAAGATTAGTATGTAAGAAATAAATCAAGACTAATTTCCACTATTTCTAACCTATAATACTTGGAAGCATCCCAGTCAGTAACATTATAAATCTTTTGTTTCCAGGAGGAAACAAACAAACAAAAAAAAGTCAAAATAAGCTCTTTACCAGTTCTCTTCCTTAAAAGTAAGAGGTTATACATACTACCTTTCAGTTTCTGTTGGATATGTCAATAGGCTTTTGGATTTTGTGCTTATTTTGTTTTTAATCTAAACTGGACTAACTGAAAGACTGTATTTTCTTATATAATTCAGTTTGATGCCATAAGCTTATTCTATAGAATTGCCAAAAAAATTCTGAGCCTTGCAAAACTTTGCTTTTTTTTCTTTTTTTAATAGAAAGGAGACTTATCAACAAAAATGGAAAGTGTGTTAGGAGGAAGGAAAGGATTTTATTTTTTTACTTCAGTTCTCAGATTGAAAACACATTAGCCAGGGCCAGAATTTCCTCATACATAACTCCCTATAGTTCACATTGAATGATTGATTAATTAATTAATTTCTGTTTATAACCTCCGTGCCTCTAGTCTTTCTTATTTTTCTCCCTAGCAATATGGGAAGGAAAGCAATCTGATGGACAGTCAAGCAGCCCCCAGAATCCAAACTCCAGCTTTTCTTCCTCAGTTAAAGTGGAAAGTCCCTTACTAGGCTTAGGGAAGAAGTCTTTCCAGAGGTCTGACAGACTCCATACAAGTAAGTTAGTTTACAAAGATTTTTGTTTTCATTGCCATGATTTGTCAGTTATAGATTTGAAATTCATCAGCCATTTGACTTATGTTTAGTGCATGATTTGGGTTATATAGCACAGATTAGAAATAATTTATTAATGACTCTTCGTTGTTTTTGTGTGGTGCAAGGAATCAAATCCAGGGCCTTGCACTTACTATATTAAGTGCTTCACCACCCGGCTACATACCCAGTCTGACATAATCACTTCTAAGAAATGAAAAGAAATAAAGACAGAATTAATGTAGTATGTCTTTTTCCTGTGATTTTTTGTTTTGTTTTGTTTTGTTTTTTTACCATGTTCACCTTTGTACTCTTAAATATCTTCATGTTCTTCCTGTGCTCCCCTTATCAAACTTTATTTCAGAGAAAGATCTGTCATCAGTCATTTTGTGGTTATTTCTTTCTACCAGAAAGTTGCTTTGTGTCCTGCATTATTTACATGTCATTTCTATAGACAGAAAAATAGAAAGGCTTATAATTAAATAAGACAAACTGAAAGTTTTTTCTTTTTCTTGGAAATCCCACTAACATAAGAGTATAGAAATACAAGAACTGAAGAGATGATATATTATAGAAGAGAAAAGTGAGGTGAAGAGTTTAAAATAACCAGTTTTATGCTTCACCTTAGCAGAAGAAAAGAAGTTTATTTTGAGGTGAGATTGGATGAAAGAAATTCCATTTTAGGGACACTACACATAGCTGAGGGCAGACAGTGAGGCACTGTACTGAAATTTGAGAGATCAAGTTAAATACAAATACTAAGAAGTGATTCTTCTGATTGGTGAATCAAAAAAATAAAGAGATGTTCAATAGCAGAGAAGAGGTAAGAAATTGAAACACCAATCCACGTTGTTCATTGTCCCAAAAAGTAGAACTATTCAGAAGAGAAGTTGAAAGGGAACTAAATGTGAAGAAAAGACTATGAGAACATCTTAGAATTGAAAATCACAGGACTCCAGATTGAAAGTTGAGATTAGATGTAAAGAAACAAAAAAGATGGATGCAGGCTCACACCTTTAATCCTAGTGACTCAGAAGACTGAGGCAGGAGAATTGTAAGTTCAAGACCAGCCTCAGAAATTTAGTGAGACCCTGTCTCAAAATATGAAAGGTCTGGGGATGTAAAGAGCCCCTGGATTCAGTCCCCAGTACTAAAAATAAAAACAAAACAGAAAAGTATGCCAAGATACATTGTTCTAAAATTTGAAAACATCCAAAATAATCAGATGATTCCAGAAAGACAAAAAAAATGCTTTTCATTCAAAGATTTTTAAAATTAGGATCACATGTTTATTATAGCACTATTTACAATAGCCAAGAAATGGAATCAACCTAAGTGTGTATTGACTGATGAATGGTTAATGAAAGTGTGGTATTTACATACAATGGAATATTCAGACATAAAAGGATGAAATTAGGGACTGGGGATGTGGCTCAAGCGGTAGCGCGCTCGCCTGGCATGCGTGCGGCCCGGGTTCGATCCTCAGCACCACATACAAACAAAGATGTTGTGTCTGCCGAAAACTAAAAAAAATAAATATTAAAATTTAAAAAAAAAAAAAAGGATGAAATTGTCCTTTGTAACATCATGGGTGAAACTGGAAGCCATTCTTTTCAGTAAAAATAAGGCAGGCACAGAAAGACAAAATACTATGTGATCTCACTCATGTGGAATCTCAATCTTATAGATTCCACATGAGTGAGATCACATAGTATGGTCTCATAGCTGGGACAGTGGTGCACACCTGTAATCCCAGCAGTTTGGGAAGCTAAGGCAGGAGGATTGCAAGTTCAAAACCAGCCTCAGCAAAAGTAAGTGGAACCCTGTTTCTAAATAAAATACAAAATAGGGTTGAGGATGTGGCTTAGTATTTGAGTGCTCCTGAGTTCAATCCCCCAGTACCCAAAAAAAAGCTGGTCTGGTCTCACAGAAGTTGAGAGTAGAATGGAGGTTACCAGAAGGTAGGGAAAGTAGGAAGGAGAGAGAAATGGGGAAAACATCATAGTCAACAGGTACAAGTTATAGCTAGTTAGATGAAATAAGTTCTGATGTACTATTTGTGTCAATTTAAAAATATTTTTAGTTGTAGATGGACACAATACCTTTATTTTATTTATTTATTTTTTTGTATGGTGCTAAGAAATGAACCCAGTGCCTCACATATGCTAGGCAAGCAGTCTACCACTGAGCCCCTTAAAAATAATTTTTAAATACCATATATTTTTTTCATGGAAAGACATGCATAACATATCGTTAAATTCATCACAAGTCATAGGATTAAAAAAGAATTGGGATTACAGACATTTCAGGAGCTACACAGAAGATAAAAAATAGCACAACAGGGCATGGAATACGTGGTAAAGAGCACATGCTTACAAGGCCCTGGGTTCTCTCCTAGCACCAAAAAGAGGGGAAAAAATGTGCAGCAGTCCTACACATCTGAGGGAAATTTATTCTGTGTTCATTTAAGTATTCCAGATACATTTTAACTATTAAAGTGTGAGAATATAATTAATTAATAATATTTCCAGAGAAATGCTTAGTTTAAAAGTGGGGGGTGGTGTTGATTCTAGGTGGGGTTGTGAATTGGTACTTTCTCTTAAAGGCAGTATTTCCTATATAGAAAGAGAATAACATTTGATAATCAATTCTCTTAAAGGTAGTATTCATTTGTCAAACAAAACTTAAGTTATACTAATATGTCAAATACATGTTTTGAGCCTTAAGGGTATTGATGTCAAGCTGAACAAAGTTTTATTCATATTGCAGTAGAAATATAGAGGTACAGAACTGAGAGAATGATGAACCAAGAATTTCTTTCATGGAAAACTAGGAAAAATTAACTGTAAAAAATGAAACCATAGTGTAGTTTAAGTTAGATCTAATAACTGAGAAGTAAATGAAAGTTTTTCTCTTTTGCAATGAGCATTATAAGAACTTTTACAATGTAGCCACAATGAATATCTTCAAAATTCATGGAAGAATTTCTATATTTTGTGTTTAAAATGATAAAAATTAAAGTAGATGATTTACATGAAATATTTTTAAGCTAACATTGGTAAAGTTGATTTTTAATGTCATTAAAATTGATAGTATGTTGTATGTTTTTACATCCCAGATTCGGAGGAAACATGACTTAGATTTCAAGTGTAATAGAATAAATTAAGGCAGCCTAAACTGAAACAAAATAAGGTTGACTTTACCAAAATTCAAGATAGAAACTAGTCTGCCACTCAAGCACGTAAAAGTGTTTTCAGGGTACAGTTTGATCAATACTAGGGAATAATTTACAACTGCTTCTCAATCACAAAGTTCAAATTTTAGCTATAGTTTGATTCCGATTTAAAGATAGAATGAATGGGAAAATAGTAAAAGTCATACCAGGACTGCTAAACCTCTAATTTCATGAGTTGCAGTGTGAAAGGAAAGGTAGGCCGTTGCTTTCTAGTGTATACAGGCACTGTATGGTTTTGTTTTTGTTTTTGTTTTTGTTTTCTGGGTCTGGGGATTGAACTCAGGTGTTTAACATGCTAGGCAAGTGCTCTCTGTGCCACTGAACTATATCCGCAACCCTGCAACATTGTTTTTACAAATGGAAACTAGTAATCATTGACATGATCATCAGTGGGAGTTCGGTTAAGTTGATCATAATAGAACCTTTAGAATGTGATACATAAGCTTTTTTAAAAGGAAGTCTGAGCAGGGCACCATGGCACATGCCTATAATCCCACCAACTCAGGAGGTTGAGGCCAGAGGATTGCAAATTTGAAGGCAGCCTAGGCAACTTAGCCAGGCCCTGTCTCAAAATAAAATAAAAAGGGTTGGGTGATGTGACTCAGTGGTAAAGCACCTTTGGTTGCAATACCCAGTACCATAGATAGATAGATAGATAAATTTGTTGGTAGTTATTTTAAAGATGTTCAAGATATTTAGTGCAATTAAGCAAATGTAATTAGTATGTATATTGTTATTTCATTTCTCCAAATTTAAGATGTTTTTTGGCAGAAAGACAGGTTTGAATATAGGGCCTTTACTTTTCATTTTGTGCCTTGGTAATTGATTTTTTTTTTTTTTTTACATTTACCTTTACCTCTCAGGTACGGTATTTATCATCATTCATTTTGAAAAGTTAAATATATGTGTATATTTTAATTTCTTTGTCTCAGGAGTTATTTTGAAGTTTTTAATTTCCAAGTACAATAGGGATTTTTGTTTTTGTTTTTGTTATGAACTTTAAACCGAAATGAAATCATAGGCTGTGTTATACAGAGCAAAAGACTCCGAAGCCACAGTGTCAGGGCTTAAGAGTCCTACAATATAACTTAACAGTGTAGATTGAGCAAGCTTTCATATCTGGGACAGTTGATCTTCATCTGTGAAGTTGATCCCTTGTCCCTGGGATTATACATGTGCACTTCTGTGCCTGGCTCTATTTGTGTTACATGTTTTTCATGTTTAAATTCTTTGTTAGATTCAGGTTTTTATCATTATTCATTTACCTTATCAGTTACTGATAGGTTTTTACTTGAAGTCATTTTTTTGATATTAATAAATGACACCTCTCCAGCTTTAGTTTTTGCCTAGCTTATTTTTACTTTGTTCATACTTTATTTCTGTATGCTTGAGCTTTATATATTTCTCTATATTTATTTATATGTGGTGCTGAGAATTGAACCCAGTGTCTCACACATGCTAGGCAAGTGTTCTACCGCTTAGCTACAATCCCAGCTCTGTGTTTTGTTTTTAATTGAATGTGACAATCTCTTTCCTTTGGTGGTGGTGTGTTTGTTTGTTTGTTACTGGGGATTGAACTTAGGGTGCTTTATCACTGCTCCCCATCCCTTTTTATTGTTTGAAACAGGGAATTACTAAATTGGTTAGGGCCTCACTAAAATATCTGAGGCTGGCCTCAAACTTGCTATCCTCCTGGCTCACCTTCCAAATCATTGAGATTGCAGGTATG